AGCATTGTGTTTCAGGGAGTATAAATTGCAACAAGAGCATTCTTTATACAGAGCCCAAGGACTGTGAAAATATAGTAGTGAGACCTTCTGTATCAATGCATAATGACTTTAATATTAACTGAAGTTATTTCTTTATCTGGAATGAGAAGAAATTACAGGTTAGGTCTCTCTTACCTGAAATGTTTGGGACCAAAAGTATTTCAGATTTTGAATTTTTTCAGATTTTGAAATATTTGCATTATACAAGTTGAGCATCCCAAAGCTGAAATCTGACATGCTCCAGTGAGCATTTCCTTTGAGTGTCATGCTGGTGCTCAGAAAGTTTTAGATTTCAGATTTTTGGATTTGGGATGCTCAACCTGTACCTAGGAGTTTGCCCTGACATATATATTTGAACGAATGAACTGTGAATCTGAATTAAGAAAGAAAGATAGTAGGATTACTGTAATGTAAATTCCATGATAGTAGGGTCTTTGTTTTGTTTGTGGTTGTGTCTGCAGTCCCTGGAACACTGCCTGGCTCATAATAGTTGCTCCATAAAATGTTTAGTGAATGAATGGTAAGTTTTTATATTATCTGTTTTAAATTTAAAAGCTGCACATTAATTACTTAAGTATTGGTTTACAAACCTTTGAGAAAATAAATGTAACTTGGTTGAGGCATCATTTCTGATACTTCTTTCTTGCTGACTCGGTGAGAAAGTTGTATAAAGCACATTGCAGCATGTTCATTCATTCATTTTCGTTGAATTTCTTTGAGACATATCTAGTGGATGCACGAGAGTCCATTACGTGTAAATTAACAATTCATTTAGTCAATCCCTTACTATTGGACATTTCAGTTGCTTATAATTTTTTTTTGCTGTTGCAAATTATACATCAATGAAAGAAATTTTCTTAAGCTTTTTTTTGGTGGGTATGACAGTTCAACAAATAGCAGTTTAGAAAAACAGCATCTAGGAATTTCTATGAGAAAATGAGCTGGGATTATACAACTGTGAAGGTGAGATCAGAAGCTTCAGTGGTCAGACAGCTGAGATCAGACAGCACAAATGATACAATCTTTGGGTAGCCAGCTGCTTCTGCATGTAGATAATGTTTAATCATCCATCTTTTCACATAAAAGATATCTTGCAATTTGTGGTGGAACCTACTATCACTTGTACTTGTCTTTTACTTTTAATGAATAAATGAGTCATTACACTGTTTCTGCCTCTTAATTACAGCCTAAAGATTATAAATGCATTTAACTCCTTTATACATGTAGTTACATATATTTAAGTTACTTTTATTTATAATCACTTCCTTTCTGAATTTTGTTGGAAAAATTTTGCTTTTTCATATTAAGTTCCTGTAAAATATTATATTCATACAAAAGTCTATGTAATATGTTGAAAAGATTAACATAATGATATCCATCCCATCCCGTCCCTCAGCTTAAGTGATAAAACATTAGCAATACCCTCCTGGAGTGCCTCTCCCAACCCCTGTCCTAATGCCAGCTTGAGGAAACCATCAGCTTCAATGTGGGGTCTAGCATTCCTTTGCATTTTTTTTTTATAGTACATCACATATGTTTTTATCCCTTAACAACATATCATTAACTTTACATATTTTGGAACGTTATAGAAATGATATCATTATATGTGTGTGTGTGTATATATATACACATTTACATATGTCTGCGATATATAATATATATCAATAATATTTGTGAGATTTATTTGTTGATCTATGTACCCATGGTTCATTCATTTCAGTGCTCCATACTACTTGTTTGTATAAAGATGACATAATTACCCTTTTGCTGATGGAAATTCCAGTTTTTTGCTGTTACAAACAGTGTTGCTATGAACATTTTTCAGTATATGTCCAAGCACACATATGAAAGAGTTCTTATAGCCACATATCCCTCTTTTGGTTAGTATTTGCCTGACACAGATTTTTAATGCTTTTGTTTCCTGCCTTTCTATATTCTAGTGATTTAGGTGTGTTTCTTGTGATTAGCATAGGGCTATATTTTAAAAAATATAGTCTTTTTAACTTGACAATTTAATTTACATTTAAAGTTGATATCTAAACACTCCGTATTGGTCATCTTTGGCTGTAATAATGCTGTGTAACAGCTGCAGACATTCAGTGGCACGTAACAACAGACTTGTTTTCTAGCTCACAGGTCTGCAGTCTCTGCTGGGTTTGGCTATAAGCTGTGGGTTGGCTTCGGTTATGTGCCTGCGATCTGCTTATTCTTGTCCAGCACTGGCTGGGCACGCATTTCTCATGGTGCAGTGTAGGAGCACGAGGGAAGGCCGACTTGGCGCTCTGCAAGCCTCCAGTTAGGACCAGCACAGTGTCCTCTCTGCCCACTTTCCAGCAAGTCATATGGCCACATCCCCAAACTCAAAGTGCCTGGACAATGAGATTAAAGGCCAAAATTTGCAGAAATACCCCAATATACCTTGCATGTGAAATTGTGGGCTTAAAACAAATTACTTTTCCTCTTTTGGATGTTGTGAAAAACAGGAAGTAAGGTTTTTCTTCTTTCTCCTTTGTAAGTCCAGTGGGAAGGGTAGCATTTAGGGGAGGAGAAAGGGAATCTGAACATTTTATATTGTGTGCTACTGAACTGTCTTCTTGCTTGAAAGAATTGGTAGATTACCTACTTTGAAAGTATATGGGAAGATGTACTTAATAAAGCTGCGATTAGTGCAAAGAATCTTGAACATGTGACTTTAGTGATGTCGTTAATAAATATGTTTGTAAGAGCTACTCCATGACATTTTACATTAATTCCATCCAACACATGCATTAAACTATATAGTTTTGTAAGCTATAAAACTTGTGTACATTTATTTCCTCAGATGGTAAGGTTATAAATCCTGTGTTTATAAGTTTTATTATGCTGGTGTCTTTGAGGTTACTATTTTTAGTGCTGAGAAAACTCTTGATGTCTTAAGAACTTAAATCCTTGAGTAAGTGTTTATTTGGCTCTTCATGGTTATAGGTAGGAGCGGGGTGCTGCATAGTACAAGGTGCTTTGTTGTTACCATTTAGGAATTATAAATTTAAGATAAGATTTTTTGATGTAAACATGAACAAGGAGAAAAGTCCCTGGCCAAAGAGACTGGACTCTACAGGTATAAATTTAAGTGGATTCCTGTGAACATTTAATCTCCTTTGTGCATTTGTAACACAGGACATCATGTTTGCTTGTCAGCATTCAGCATGCTCCAGGTTAGCATGTTCCACCTCAGAGTTTCCTAGGAGGGAAAACAAATCTAATAGACTCAGTCAAGCAACATCAAGAAAGTGCATTTATTGTGAGAAACTTTCATCTAAAACTGACATGGGGTTTATATATTGTTTTAGATTTTCCATACAACTTCTCATTTCCTTTGGGATAATTGGGTTATCTGGAAATGGAAATCGTTTACTAGTGTACAGATAAAGAAGAATGCATGTTGGATGGGGGTCAGGTGATTACATGGCAGCACTATGATTATATGCTATTGCTAATTACAGTGTGTGAGCCGTGCATGTAAATGCTGATGCAATCTTTTTTCATTTTGTAAATGTATACTTCTCATGTGTATTACATGACATGACTGACGCATATAGATGTGGCAAGCATTATTTCTTCAAAAAGTATTACCCTAACTTTGATTCTAAAGCAGAGGTCCTTCGTATCAGACTATTTTCTAAATTTTTTTTTTTTTGTGACAGTCCTGCTCTGTTGCCTGTGCTAGAGTGCCATGGTATCAGCCTAGCTCACAGCAACCTCAAACTCCTGGGCTCAAGCAATCCTCCTGCCTTAGCCTCCCGAGCAGCTGGGCTGATAGGCATGTGCCACCATGCCCGGCTAATTTTTTCTGTTTTTAGTAGAGACGGGGTCTTGCTCTCACTCAGGCTGGCGAACTCCTGACCTCTGGCCTGGGCCTCCTGCAGTGCTGGGATTACAGGTGTGAGCCACGGTGTCCAACCTATTTTCTAAAGTGATTTGGAAAATAACCATCACTTACTGTAAGAAGTAGCTTATCAGATTATGAAGGAAGCTATCTATGAGGTAGCACAAATGTGCATTTTGTATCAAATCTGACCTTATCTGTGGAATTTTATATATTAGATTTAGGCAGGCATTGTGTATCCCTGGTTATGTTTAAATATAGCATTAGTTTTTATGCCTAATACTAATTAGAGAGAGGAGAATTTACAATGTAAATCTTAGCAAAGGGTTGAGTTTGTATTAATCCTAACACAAGGTGATGCTTTGTGTTATACTCTTAAGTGAAAAGAACCAAGTACAAAATTTTATATGTAGTATTTATCAAGTATATTTTTATTAAAATATAAATTAGAAAAAAAAGTATGAAAGGAAACGTGTTCCAAATGATTGGGTAGATGTAGGGGTATTGTGTTGTGAGAGAATTTTTCTATTTTGCTGCTGTTCCTATTTTTCTTTTACTTTGTTTTAATAATGAACCCACATTACTTCTCTAATGAGGAAAATGTTCATTATTAGAGAAAGCCTATAGCAATAACTTCAGTGATCTTTATTTGATGGCTTATATAAATCATTTATATGCAACCAAAATAGACATAGCAGGTGTGCTGTGTGCTGTGTTTACTCTAGACAGAGTGCTCTCTTTCTTTGATTTATTTAGCTGGGACTTGGGAAGGAGTAAGTTTTTAGTACTAAACAAAGGACACCTGTTAAGTTTCTGTGCAGTAATTACTTTATAGATATTATTTACTTTTTAAAAGTAACTTGTTTCAGAGAAAGGAAAATGTGAATTAAGTCATGATATTCTAAAGATTGGTAATCTTTTATATTCAGTAGATGATGACAAGGGTTCTTCTGGGAATGGAAAATTTTTGAAACAAAATGATTTTCTTCATTTCCTTTTAGAGAACTTTATTTTAAATATTGACTTTTAGAAAATACTATTTCTTTCTCTTTGTTTCCTGACTAGGACATGTATTCCTCTGAGAAAACTTGGACAGCAGATTTTGGTTTAGTATCTGATTGGGACAACATACAGAGACATTTCCAGTCATGAGTAAGTGTGCTTCTTTGTTTCATTTCAGCCGCCTCAGGAACATTTACAGTATTGTATTTAAAAAAAGGAAAAATATGTTTTTTGGGAAAATTGGGATTATGTTACTTCTTCAGAGATTGAATAATCTGTTTCCACCCAGTACTGTGCACTTGTGTGTATTAAAACAAGGAGATACTCTTCGATGTTTGATTCGTTCTAAGAAGTACATGTGATGAGGAAATCTGGGTCATTAGCTCCTCGGCCGATTTAGTTCTAGTACCTAAAATTTTCTGTTGACTAGCCATTGGAAAACGACTCTAGAAGTATGAATGGGGGACGTTGCAGTTGATCATAATTAGCAGAGGTTTTATTGTGTGAAATTAAATCATTGGGTAACATGGGTTAGTATTATATTTAAGGAGAAAACCCCAATCTCTCCATCAATGTCTTTGATGGAACAAAGAACCAAGGCTATCCTGGACTTAAGCAAATTTGATATAGATTTTTTCTTCTCAGTCATGAGGGGATAGTATATGTAATATTTTCTCTTCCTATCCACTTCTGCTTGTGAAAAAGAGAACTGGATTTTACTATTTTGTGTTTCTTTTTTAGAGGGTGAGGAAGAAATCGAGATTTTCCCCTAACTGGGATCCTGTGGAAGTTTTGAAGTACAGATTTTCTGACTGTGGATAGAGTGAGCATTTCCGTACTGGGAGATAATGTTAGAGAGTTTAATTTTTTTTAACGTATTCATATTGATATATTTACCATAATATGAAATAAGGCAGCTTTCTCATCATCGATTCAAATAACTAGACAGTTGATAAATGAAAATGAAGCTGTTGTTATTGTGAAACCTTTGAGTGCTTTCTACTAAGAATAATATTGTAAGAAATGGTCTTTGATTTTAGACTTTTCAGTGGTGTACTTGGAATAAACAAGGATAGTTGCTGGGTGAATTCAAATACAGATAAAGAAACAGCTTTTGTTATTTCAACTCCATTCATACGAAATTTTGTGAGAATATTTAATGTAAAGTCCTAACTCAAGATGATAATAAGTTCATGAAAATTAAAAGAGAAATGGCAAGCATTTTAACTTAAAAAATGCTTACATTTCTGAAAAATTAACTAAATTTTCTTCTACTTTGTAATTTTAGGGTTCTGTTAGCATCACTGTTACAGAGACGAATTTTTTAAAGGACAGGTACCCTGTGTCTTTGTTTTTGAATCTCAGTGTTTGACACAGTGTCTTGTATACTGCTGTCCCTAAAAAACATCAGAGTACTGTGAGGATGAAGGCAGGGGGAGGAATGGCTTGTTAGGCAGATAATAGTATCTGAACCACATAGCATTTTGTGTTTTTATGTTACAATGGTTATATTTTATTTGCAAGATTTTTAATTGGTTCCTTATATCCACTAATTCTTTTTCATTTCTGCCTAAAACAATTATTTTGCTCTTTTGTTATTCCTTTATCTCTTTGTGAATCTTTTACATGCTTACTTTAAAGTCTTTTTCAGATCGTTTGATAATTTTATAATTTTGTCTGCAGTGAATTTATGTTGTGGTTGTTGATGTTGGCGGTGTTTTCGTCATGTTTTATAATTTTGCATGCATATTCCGATGAAAGTTTTTTTTTTCTTTGTCCTATGTCTCCCTTTCTGTTTCTTTTTGTAATTTTTTCCCCCTGCTGGTCTAGCAGATTTGTAGTTGTCTCTGCCTGGCTTTGGCATTCCCAGATCAGAATCAGGTCTGTGTTAGTGGATCAGAGGCCTTGCCCCATGGTGACGCTGGGGACATCACAGATTCAGTCACTGAGTCAGCTGGCATTAGGTCAGCAACTTCCTATAAGCTGTAGCCTCAGCACAGTTAGCAGAAACCTTTCCAGTCTAGTCTCATAATCAAGGAAGAGTGCCGCCCAGTCTCTGGTTTTAAGCAGAGAGCCTGGCTACTGACCCTGCTTCATAGGGGTCACTTTTATTTGCAGTTACCCCATAGGATGAAACTTCCTGTTGCTTTTTCCTGCTCCGAGGCCCCGAGTCCAGCTGACATTGTGGCTTCAGCTTGGTTCACACTTTGTGTTCCTGTTAGATTTCTGATCCATAGAGATGTTTAACGTGCTTTGGGGCATAGCTGTGTCACTTTAGAGATTTGTTTTTGTCATTTCTATGTGTTTGTTGTGAGAAGGGGGAGCTGTAAAGAATGAACAATGTTCTTGGGGGTCTAACCACTGGTATTAGAATAAAGTCCAAACTCCTTATCACATTTAAGGTTCTTTTTTAAAAATCAATTTCTGCTTAGTTTCCTAGTTCCTAGAGCTGCTCTCTGTCACCCACGTGACACTTCACTTGCGAGGTGAGCCCCATGTGCTCCTTCTCCACAGTACTCTGCCTACCCCATTCTAGGACCCACCCAACTGTATTCAGATCATCTGTTTATTTGCTTGTGGCTTTCTCTAATCTGCATGCTCCTTGATGGCAAGGACCCTTTTATTCTGAGTGCCAAACACTGTTCCTGGCCCTTAATTGGTGCTAAATAAATATTGCACAGCTTTGGGTGTTCCTAAGTTACGTCCTTAGTGTGTGGTAGCTATTCCAGATATTACTTTTAGGTGAAATTTGAGCCGTTCGCATGAGAAGAGTGTGTGTTTGTGTAGAGTGTGGCTCAGGATAAAAGCATTCCAGGTAGGTGGCACATGGAATGTGAGAAAGGCGTGAGGGTGTCACTCCCTGCACGTGTGTCTAAGGAGTCCAGCGATGGGGAGGGAGATGGTAGAGCTGGAGGTGAAATCAGGGTCCGGGTCATTTACACGTGATCCTGTAGGGCTTACGGAGTTATCAGAGGATTTCAGTGAGGGGAGCAACTTAATAAGATTCGTTCTGGAAAGTTACTCTGACAAATACAGGTTTTCATTAGATGTAAATTTAAAAAATTGGTTACACAGGCAGTATTTGCCTTTTCTAGCTTTGTTCTTAGTTTTCACTTCTTTTCAAGCTTCCTTTGCTTTAGACTCAGTTACATTTCTTTTTCTTGCCAATTTGATGGTTTTCTCTAGCAAAACAAATTGTTGAGTAGACAACTATAATGAGAGGTTAGGGAATATTACAGCGATTTACCTTGTGCTGCAATTTCTAGGGGTTTGTAAGTCTTCCAAAAAGTGAGACCTGAGTATATCAGAGTTCCTGTTTTTGAAAAAAAAAAATTCTGGAAGCATGGTACAGGTTAAAAAATAGGAATATATGTCATTAAAGTTAAGGTGGGATTTCCAAATTTAGATTTGGGTGAGAATGATGGGTTAACTAACATTTGTTTTCAATACTTCTCTGGAGATTAAAAGAAAGATTATATCTGGATGGATTTATCTATGCAGTATTTCTCAACCATTGCCATGTCATGAAACACTAGAACATGGTAAGAGTTGTACAGCACGTGGGATAAACAGATAAAGCCGTTTGGGGTTTGGAGGCAATTGGCTCCGAGATCTCAGGCCAGGCTGCCACACGTGCCCAGCTGCCCTGGCAGCCGAGGGGTTGGTGTCTCCACACACCCTGCACTCTGGGCACAGTGGTTAGAATGCCCCCTACACAACTGTAAGGCCTGGAGAATTTGTTAAATGCTTTGTGATGCTTTTCAGCTTTTATTCTGCCTGATATACATTCTGTCAAATTCTGAGGCTGAATATTTATTTTGTGGAAAATGCATTCTATGATGCTGTTATGATGTGCATTTCATTGTGGATTGTTAGCTTTATTG